AAAAAAAAATTATCTGACAGCTCTGCTTTTTTGTTTGTTAGCTTTTGCAGCTGATGTGGGTGCATCAGTTTGGGCACTCAGTGAGTGGAGAGTCTGCTCAACTTTCATTTTAAAATCAGAATTGTGTAAGCTGAACCAATTGGATATGTATGATATTGGCTGTTGTTTCTACTGTTGTTCACTGGTTTCCTTTCATTAGGACATGATCAAGATTAATTTTTTTTTTCAAATTGGAGGGGATGGGCTACTGCAGTGGGCTTCAATGTCAACATTGCTTGGTCCCTCTTGAAAACAAGTTATCTATTTGTAAATGACGTCATTCTTTGGGGGTATTGACCTCATAAACTTTTCTTAAGACTTCAGGACATCACCACTCTTCCACACAGGATTCACCATAAATGTGATGTTTTTCCTTGTTTCAATTTTAGCAGAATTCATGTTTGTCTGACAAGGCCCCTTTTCAAACTGACATCTTCTTACAGCTCTAAATGAGAACTTGTTCTGATGTTATAACATTTTAAGCAGAGTTTGATTTTGGTATAAACAATTTTGAAACTCATGCATATTTTCCCCATAGTGTACAGTTTGCATGAACTTTTGAAGATCTCTCATAACAATTTTTTGTCCATGTTTTTTTAAGTAAGGCTATAGTTGTAAGAACTTTATACAAGAATGCTCTCACAACTGACTTACATTCCACTTTGAGACTTACTTTTCATTTTGATACATTGAATAATAAGATAATATTTAAAATTCGGGATCATTTTTATATCTGGGGAACAGAGATGCAAATATAGAGTGGTGAATTGTGTAGCATATATGATTTTTCGGCTCATTTTATTTTACTACAGCTCATGTGTGATGAGAAATATTTCAAGAGCATTATTCTGGTATAGAGTCATGCTAGTATCTATTAAAAAAGAGTTATTTCTTTCAAGATAGTCTTTAATTATTATAACCCCAAACAAAAACTACTTCCACTGATTTGAGTCTGATTCACATTGACTCTGGGAAGAATTTCTGAGACTTAAATCTTCATGGGAGCAGACAGCCTCATCTTTTTCTCTTGGAGTCCTTGGTGGATTTGACCACTGACCATACAGTTAGCAGTCCACAGAGACACTTACTTACTTAGAGCCTGAGAAATCTGCCATAGTGGAATAGGTTATTTTAAAATATTAAATTATCAATTCTTTAAGGCGTAAATACATACAATTCTTTAATATTGTGTCTACATGTGCCCAGTAGGTGGGAAATGGAATTAAAGGCAACTATTTAATGCATGCAATTAGGCCAATTTCCACAGCAAATTGTTACACAGTTCAAGTTGGTGTGGCCTTCAGGTTTTTCTTTAGTTTTTATTTCAATGGTTAGTAAATTTATTTGGGCCTTCGATTTCTGTTTACATTTATGTACATCTGAGTTAATCCTTTGAGGCTGTGCAACCTCTGTGGTGGTTTCTGATTTTCACAGTCCCTGAGATCTCTGTTCTGCAGTTCTCGTTAGGGCTCAGAGACTCACCAGCTTTCATCCACTGCAGGGACATCAGCCTAGTGCCATAACTATAGCTGTCCTAGCCTCCCCCACTCACATTGCCACCCTTTTTAATGATTGACTAACTCAGGAAGGAACACCAATGTATCTTTAGAATTAACACAGGTTACTAGGAAAATGTTCTTGAAATATATTAGTGGCAGAAATACTTCTTTAAGGAAAATACTAATGAGATGGGAGCAGAAGCCTTTGATCGACAACCCCAATTCATAGTGCATACATATTTTTTCCCTCTCTTACGCTGTGCACAGAGCTAAATTTTCTGTGTGGATTTTCAGTGAGCTTCTATGTTAGTATAAGTAAGATAGAGATAGAATGAACTTCTGGTGCACATTGGTGGTTACATAATCTGATGAAGAGGGTGGAAAATTAGAAAGGAAATTGATGAGTAGAAAGGAATGTGTTGCTAACATGCAATCACATTCATCATTTAGTGTAAGAGTTTATGGAAGCTCAGTATGCAGGCTGGTGGCTGACAGCATGGGGTTTGAAGCCTGACATCCTAGTCCACTTCCACTGCGTATCAACTGCATGATCTTAATTAAGCCTCAGTTTGTTTGAAAGGTAACATTTTGGTATTAGCTGCTATATAACTTGCAAGAATTAAATGCGATGCAATGCATAAAATTTTACCACAGTGTTCTTGGAACAATAGTCATAAAATGGTAGTAATAAGTGGTACATATTTTTATTTAGGCCAGGGATCATTATATGAATCTGTACTCTTTTTTAAAATGCTGTATGTAAAATGTTCTGAAATGAACAGAGAACTGAGCTATAAAAAGCTCAATAAAGGATTACTTTACTGACAGTGGTAAACATGGTGAATTAATCAGCAAACATTTTTTATTATATCATGTAGAATGTTGCTTTAGTCACATTCTCAGAAAATAGATCAAGTGCATATGTCTTGGGTGTTGTGGACCTGACGGAGGGTGATTGCCTGCAGGCACAGAGCAGCACAGGGGTTTTGCAGGTGACTTTTGAAATCTGCCTCTCTTTGCTTTAGTGATCTTCACCATCAGCCAAGGTGGTGGAAGTCAGAAGTATCCTCGTTAGCGTAGCTTTCGTGAAGCCAAGGAGCGTGGAAAGCACAGCATGATGGCCCTCTTAAAAAATAGGCTGCAAGTCCCACTAGACAAAATGGGAAGTATATTGAGTATTGTTGGTTAGTGTCACGCTCAAGATGTTACAAGTGAAGTAGTAGTAGTGATGAAAGGCATTAAAGTATTTGGGAGCATTTCCCGCTACCCCTGACCTAATATGGTGGGCAGGAAAGTAGTTATGGATATTTTCCCTATCTGTATAAGATACAGTCCAGTAACAGCTTAAAATAGTGGTTCCTCCTGGTTAGATAGTCACCACGGCGCTCCGCTCAGCGCAGGATTCCAAAGATAAAAGAGGGGAAAATAAAACTATCAGAGGAGAGTCACAAAGATGATTAAGGGAGAGAGAGAAAAGTGGAAGGCATGTGTGCTGTCTAATTTTGAAGTACAGACACCGAGAGGGGGCTTAATAACATTCAAGCATATGAATGGCCTTCAAGTAAAATTGTCCATCAGGGTTCTCTATCACCTCTATTGCTAGAGAAACAGGATTAGGGCCCATCAAAAAGCTAGAGAGGGAACTTCAGGTTAGGAAGAATTGTCAACCATTCAGCAAGTTACCAACCAAAGAGCCCCAGCCATCCTTTAGGACTATTTAAAGCAAAATAAACGTATACTTATTTACAGAGATCTTACAGGGGTGCAGAGTGTCCTTGTCATAGCAGGTGGATGTTTGGATGTTCTGGATGAGTTCTGAAATTTTCCTTTAGCTCTTCTTTTAGGATAATAAAAGATCCAGAGGATCGGAAAGAGGAATGAAATAGAATCCTTCAACAGTTCATTTTGGAGTAGTTGTTATTTCTGCAAACATTTCTGTCCATAAAATATATATATATATATTCATATTCTGCAGATTACTCGCCTAAAGATAGATCGAAATCCATTTGCCAAAGGCTTTCGAGACTCTGGGCGTAACAGGTAAGTCTTAGTGTAGAACATTCTGACTGTACTAAATATTACTGATATCTAATTGTGAATTTTCTATTAAAAAGTAAGCAGTTATATTTTCTAACATGCTTGAAGTAATTTCTTTTGAGGATTTAAGTTTGTTAATACTATCGTGTCACGGAGACAACTTATTTTGGGGTGTAATGTGGATTGCCTTTTCTTAGGTGAACTTTCACCTGTGATGCTGGGGTGAAAAACAACGTTCTCGGTGTACAATTATGCTACTTTCGCAGGGCTTGGGGACACCTGCCCTTACAGCCCCATGGCGTCTAATATCTGAAGTTCCTATCCTCTCTGTGCCAGTTACCAGTTTAGAATTTGCTTAGGGATGCCGCAACCTCCTTGAATCTGTTGTCTGGGTGTGATCGGGTCTCTTGTTTTCTCGTATTTCAAACTAGATTATGGAACTACTCCCTATTGCCAAGAGAGCTGATATTTTTCAGTTTCCAAATTTGGCTTGGCTTCTCTGACAGTTACACACTTGCTTATTTTTTTCTTGGATCATATTTTATGGTGTTCCAAATGGGACAGCTATAATAGTGAATTCCACTCCATTACTTTTATCAAGAAGCAGAGCACCTACTCTGTGTGCCAAGGTTTTTTCTCAAGGTTTATTGATGTGATTCTTTTCTAATACAATTTGGTGCATCATTTTCTAAAATCATGATTACTATCAACAGGGCTTGATAATGCTAGTGCTTTCCAAATGCCTTTGTGAGGTAAAGCTTTGAGCTAAATGTTGTTAAAAGCATCTTGCTTATAAAAAGAAGCATTTGAACAATTTTTATAATTAGTTTATTATTTTAGTTCAGATGTTATTCTAATACTCCTTGGAATTTGGTATCAATAGGCTTTGCATGAAGTTAAAATCACCAATTGTCTCATTTTAGAAACAGTTTTATTGCAAAGTTTAAAGAGAAACAATCAGGTTGGAGTCCAGATTTTCTTTCAGGCAGGTAATTTGGCAGACTAAGTGTAGACAGTAACTCTTCTCAGAATATAATCAAGTACTTGTGGAGAGTTGGTTTCATCTTGACATTCAAGGGCATTATTTAAAGACGATACAATAGGAAGATTAAAACAGAACATAGCAATGACTTGTTGAAATGACAATAGTCTTCAATTTAGTTCAGGTAGATCTGTAAGACTGGCTTAATCATAGGGCTTCTCTTGAGAGTTCTTTATTCCATAGGAAGGTTTCAATGAATTCCTAATATAAACTAGCTGACTGCTGATTATTCTATCTCGTTTTACACATCTGTTTCAAAGTGAAAACTTTGCATCTGGAAGCAGCTTGGCTTTTGTTATTTTACATTAGCTCTGGCTTTCCTTTCTTTTTGAGGCATTCCTGAAAACTGAGTGTCAATAAAACAATGTCTTAATAACTGGAGCTGGTGCCTAGTGAGGGTGACTGAGGGGACTCTTTAGGGTGACCTATTACCACACTTGACAAATATTTTTATGGACTATTCTTTTAGTTTTAGCTTTAGTAGAATAGTGATTATCTGTTTAAGAGTATTAAATTACTTTCAGTTCACTTTTGAAGCAATAAACTAAAATATTGTTATAAGCCTGCTCTGGGTCAATAATAAGGAAGGAACTTTCTACAAGTAGAAGTGAGATAGTAAGGAGATGTGTAAAAAAAAAAAGCTTCAGGGATGTCTTTAGCTATGTTGGCATAATGAAAAGACATTTTGGTATGTAAATTTGGTCCATGCGAAGATCAGTGACATTGTTGAAAATAAACTATTGTTTGGTATGGTGAGGTCAAAATGCTAGTTTCAATAAGAAATTTTTATTTTCCTTTGGCTGTTTCAAGAATATGTAGATAGAGAGCATCCATGGTGCTTGCTACTACTTTTTACCTGACTCTAAACTTTTAATGTTTTTAATGGCTATACAGAAAACAATTGACTCCAGTTTAATACTTTTTAAACTTCTATTGAGATTATACATTATGATTTTGCTCCAAATGTGTCAGCCATGTCTTAGTGCTGGAAAAGCATGTTGTGCCTGCACTGGACCTTCTTACTAGGGAAGATTTCACATTTACTCCTCTGTTTACTATAAACTGTGTAATATTCACTTGGCAATGCCAAGGCATGTGTAAGTCACTATACTTTTTTTTAAGTTTAATGTTAATTTTTCCCACTGATAAGTACATAGGATGCTTATATGGAGAACAGAGAATATGGTCAACTTTAAACATTTATAACTTCTTTTCTTTTTTAGTTTTTACTTTATTGGGGGCTCTTACATAACTTCTTTTTTTTTTTAAAGAGCCCAACTTCTACATAAGGCTTGGTGGAGAGCAAAGTGCTGTCAGAGGTTGGGGTTAAGGAAGGTGATATTTTTGTTATAAACTCATTGAGAAGAGAATCATGGGAAAAAGTTCACCCCATTCCATTATTAGACCATTGTGTTATTCCTTTATTAGACCATTGTGTTATCGCTTTTAAAAACATTTTATTTCTTTCCATACATGAAATAAACAAATTGAGCAGGACAAGATAAACATGAAATTGTGATTGCTTACACTGTATAAAACAATTTAGTTTAATTAAAAATGATCCCGTTCTGGCTATTTATGGCTCCACAGCTTATTTTATAGGAACCAGTAGCTTTAGCCCTTAAAAGCGCTTCTGCAAGACATTTGCTACGTGCAAGAAAATTTATGTGCTGAGAATAGTTTCATTCTTCAGTTAGGCCTTAGCTTTGACCCTATAAAATTTTTTACTCAGGAAGGTACAGAAATTTCTTCTCTTTAAATACTGAAAAAAAAAAGACATGGCCATTTTGCCAAATAAACGTGGCCATTTGATAGCATAAATTGGGGTGGTGATAAAATGTGGAAATTGTTCAAAGGCATCTTGTATAAATTATCGCCTCGGCTACACGTCTGCAGGAGGTGCCTTTTATCTTTTCTTTAACTAGACGGGAAAAGTCTCCATTACTGGAGAAAATGAAGGCTATTCTTTTTAAGTCCAGATTCAGCCAGTAAATAGTTTATAACTGTTTCCTGCAGAATACCTGAAATCCTTTCTGGAACTTGCAGTGTGAAACATCAGCCTTGGGGGCCACTCTCCACTGCTAGCTCCAGATCAGGTCCTCTGGAGCTGGGACACCCTCAGAACTTCACTTTAAAGTGTCGTGCTTGAAGTTTGTCAGGATTCCTCATTTCTTCCCAAGAATTTGTATCGAAGCAAATACTGCTAAAGCAAAGAATGCGCGTTTGTTCTTTATAGCTAGTAAACTTAAGTCCAGTGGATGCCCTTTAAATACCTTCTCAGACACTCCCTTTAAACCACTTGGGACCATTTTGCTATCCTTAATATTGATAACTTTAATTACTAAAAACCCATCCATGACGTAATATAAAAAAAGCAGCTTTGTGTAAAGTTGTGTCCTAACATTCTAAAATCAATTTTTAAAGGGTTTCTCTGGAAAGTCGTAAACATTTAGAATTAATATAAGCTGAAATACAGGATGACCATCTAAACCACATTCATCACCCAGTATTCAATGCAGCCCACAGCCCCATTTAACGCTGGGTGAGTGAGTGCCGGGTGCTGTTTGGGAGATTATTTTGGAGTAGTGTTGGGTGTTGGGACTGACCAGGCAGGCTTGCAAAACTGCCCAGAAATCAGTCTTTCAATTCACAAAATACTTTTCTGAGGGATGTTGGATTTGTATTGTGTATGGCCTACAGTTGGGATGTCTGATTTGAGAGGAACCACTTAGTATTAAACAATTTAAAGTTCCAAGGGCTTCAGAAATGTTGAGATCGAATCTTACTTTATGGGGCCACTGAAATTCAGGGAAGTTAAGAAATTAATTAAAATTCACACATAAGGTTTTAGTAAGCAGCAACCATGGTCTAATTCACTTGACCCCGGTCCAAGTCTTTTACTTCTAAAGAACCCTCTCTTTGTGGCGAATCGAAAAGATCTGGAGCTGTTCTGTCCTTCACAGCCGGGTAGGCAACGTGTAGATCCACTCTGCCCGGCCCATCCATCTGACAACCTAGTGCTGGCACCGGTGGAAGGCTGCTGCCCTTCCTTCAAGCGCTCTCAGAGCACATTCCCCCAGCCCCCTGTGAGTTAAGAGATGGTTCATGTGTGCACTCACATGTTTATGTGTCTGTCCCTGAGAGCAAAGCATGAGCGCATGTACATGTGTAAACACCACCCTTATACATACAGAGCCCTTTCCCATCACTGCTGATGATAGAAATCAACAAATTAATGGAGAGAAACTAAATTCCAGTCGTTGAAGGAGGCAAGTTCTATGTGTAAAATCTTGCAACCGAAGGGCAAGTAGCACGAGATGGTTTTGTCTACACATGTCACTCACCCAGAATGCTGAGACCCCAGCCAGTAGTTTCTGAAGGTGGTACCCAGCTCCTTTGAGAGATTCCTCTAGTTTTAGTTCATAGTTCATCATGAGTTGAGGATGCAGGAAATCCAGAAGGGTAGCCCCCTGGGTCTGAGCTTTTAAAGATATACCTTACAAAGTGTTTGGAAGTCCTAAGTGCATGGTAGACTTTTATTTGACAGTCTAGGAAGCAGGCATTTCCTACTCGGGTACTCTCTGTGTCATGAGAAACACAATGGGATCTAGATTAACGATTGCTTAAGGCAGTGTTTCTCCACCTTCCTAATGCCATGACCCTTTCATACAGTTCCTCATGTTGTGCTGACCCCCAACCATAAAGTTATTTTCATTGATACTTCATCACTGTCATTTTGCCACTGTTATGAATCGGGCAACCCCTGTGAACCCCAAAGGTGTTGCAACCCACAGGTTGAGAACCGCAGGCTTAAGGGTCCAGTGGTTGAGGGAAGAGTGGTAAGGTCTCAGGTCTCTGAGAACTAAGAATGAACTAGTTCCCATTCTGTGGAAAGGGGCTCTTTCCCAAAACCTAGAGGGGAGAACAACTGTGGGGCTCAAGATTGGTGATTAACATAGAGACAATTTCTCAAGCAGTCATTGCCCAAGGTTTTAAACTAAAGACAAATCATGCAACTATCATCAGCTTAGCTTGTTAAGTATTAACTCTTTAAGCGTACGTAGGGCTTTGTTTTTAGTGCATTATATTTGTAGATCTGACAGCCACATAGGCCTTATGAGTTCACTATCTTGCTAGCCTCTTGCACAGTGGGCTGAGAAGTCAGTGCTGCCCCCTCCTGGGCTCCCCGTTGATGGACAGGTAGCCTGGCCAGGGCAGCACTGGGTGTGGTGGAGATTGTGCCTGTGAGAAAAGTCTGTTTTCATTGGGTGAGTGCTTGCTCCTTTCAGTTGAAGGCTAAGGTAGAGAATGATGAGGCAGAAAAGCCCTTAGAAAAGAGGTGGCTTTATAAGTGCAGCTTTTGTGGCAAAGGCTCCTTCACAGGAAGGAGCCTCTCCAGACCCTAGCAGAGTCTCTGACCCACAGCCGCTAGCCTAAACGCTCTTCACGTCAGCCCCTTGGCCAAAGAGGACAGCATTGGAGCCCACGTCCTCCCAGTCTGTACTGCTCCTGGTGAAAGAGTGGTTGGCCATTGCAGAAATGCTTTCTATGACCTGCCATGATGTGTGTTTAGGCTGGGGAGCGGGGGATGGTACTGTCAACATCAGCACTGTTTGTCTGAGAGGCTGATTACTCCTGACCCCGACTTCTCGTGTCCCCCATCTCTATCCTCCCGACAGAATGGGCTTGGAAGCCTTGGTGGAGTCATATGCGTTCTGGCGCCCTTCATTACGCACTCTTACCTTCGAAGATATCCCTGGGATCCCCAAACAAGGTAAATCACAAAGTCTCCCGAATCACGCCTGCAGACAGTTCCTGTGTGGAAGGTCAAACCCTTTGCTTTCCAGTTGGTTCCAACTCACAGCAACCCTGTGGGGCAGAATAAAATTGGAAACTCCCATAGAGTTTTCAAGGCTATAGATTTTTTACCGAAGCAGACTGCTGTATCTGTCTCCCATGCTCCTCAGGGCTCAGGCACAGAAAAATCCATGGATTATGTTCTATATCTCTAATAGTGACCTCACTGGCTACAGAATCCATCTGTTTCATCAATGAGCATAAGGAAGCTAGACAACAAAGACAAAAGACCTGCCGTGGCCATTGGTTAAATCTTACTTGTTCTAGACTGTTCCACATTGCACCGGAATCACTAGGTGGTACAAACAGTTCGTTTGCTCCAACTAGGTGGTGCAAACAGTTTGTTTGCTCCACTTCTGAACCAAGTCAAGGTAACCTAGTTGGGTCTACTTTAGAAGAGAGGCCGGGCAATCTGCTTCCATGGAAACCAGCTATTGGAAACCTCGAAGAGCATGTTCTACTCTTACCTACATGGGATCACCAGGAGTAGAAGTCAACATGGCGGAGACATTTAAAAACAAATTATTATATGACCTATGCCACACCCTTCAATCTCCTGTTAATACTCGAGGTAGGCTAGTGGATGCTGGTGTCAGGGACACTTCACAAGGAAATTCATATGCCAGTCCCATGTCAGCCTTTCTTTCCAGCTCCTTTCTGCTTTTCCTTCGGCAGGGCTCTACTGTGGGTTTTCTGATGGGCAGGTCAGGCCCACTCCTCTGTGTCCAGCTCTGAATAATTCCCATAAGCCCAGGGCACGTGTTTCCCAGAATGAGCTTCTCCCATGGTCTGCTCAGTAACTAGGGCTCCCAGCCCAGTCCTGCAGCCAGGCTTTTTACTTCAAGTCCTGCCCGACGCCCCAGTGAGAACCCAGCATCCCGGTATTTGGGTGATACTCATTGGTTGATTGCCCACCCCGAGTATTTTGAGAAGCTACATACAAACACTGTTGCTAGCACACTGAATGTTTGATAGCCTTTGCAGCCGTTTGGAGTCCTTGCCCCTTCATTTCGGTCAGGCATGCGGACATCAATCTGCCAGCAGATCCAGAGAGGGAGAGCCAGCCACCATCCTTGTTGGTTGGCTGCAGGGTTAACCCCTTTCGAAGGCTCTTGGAACTGTTTGCTTGTTGGATGTCGGCTCTTGGGCTGGCATGTGTTTTCTGGCTGGAAGTGCGGTTTTTGGAAGTATTAAAGTGCAACAATAGACTCAACCTGAGCAGTAGTTGTGAGGGTAGCGCCAGGCAGAGCTGTCTTCTGTTCTGTTGTCCACAGCGTTGCTGTGAGGTGGAATTGTCTCAGCGACGACTGTCGACAAAGCAGCAGACGATTCCCTTCTCACAACAGCCCAGACCTGCCGAAGCTCGCACCGCCAGTTGCAGACATGTCTGATGCTGGGCCTATCTTTGAGCAGATCAGCGATTTCTCTCAGTGACTTCTCTTCTCTGTGAGAAAGGATTTTGATTTAGATCAAGCATTGCTGAAGGAACAGGTAAAACAGACAGAGAGAAATAATAGTTACAGGTTCAAAACAAAGCACAAGTTCTACTTTTGTTTTGTAAGATAAAATAGTTAATCAAGTTGCTGACAGTCATTAGTAATGATAACTAGAGTAAGTGATATTGAGGGTGAAAAGACTTTATGGTCACGTCGTACTGTTTTCTGTGATTAAAACAAACAAGCAAAACCACTTCATCCTCTGACATGACACATCGAGATGATCTCGGAGTAAAATCGTTGAATCTGAATCCATTCCATGGTAAAGGTTGTTGACAGCCAGGCCCTTCTCTTTTTCCTCTTTGCAACCCTCCTTGTAAGAAGCTGTGGCTAGCGTGCGTCTACCAAATTGAAAGAACTCTTCATATTTCAATGATTATCTTTGTCCTTTTTCAGGAAATACAAGTTCCTCAACCTTACTGCAAAGTCCTGGGAATGGCGTGCCTACCACCCACCCTCATCTCTTGCCTGGCTCCCCTTGCTCCTCTCCCGCCTTCCACCTGGGGCCCAATACCAGCCAGCTGTGCAGCCTGGCCCCGGCTGACTACTCGGCCTGTGCCCGCTCAGGCCTGACCCTCAACCGGTACAGCACATCCTTGGCTGAAACCTACAACAGGCTCACCAGCCAGACCAGCGAGACCTTTGCCCCACCCAGGACTCCCTCCTATGTGGGTGTAAGCAGCAGTGCCTCTGTGAACATGTCCATGGGTGGCAGTGATGGTGACACCTTCAGCTGCCCGCAGACCAGCTTGTCCATGCAAATTTCAGGGATGTCCCCCCAGCTCCAATATATCATGCCTTCACCATCCAGCAATGCCTTTGCCACTAACCAGACCCACCAGGGCTCCTATAACACATTCAGGTTACACAGCCCCTGTGCCTTGTATGGATATAATTTCTCCACATCCCCCAAACTGGCTGCCAGTCCTGAGAAAATTGTTTCTTCTCAAGGGAGTTTCTTGGGGTCCTCACCGAGTGGAACCCTGACGGATCGGCAGATGTTGCCCCCCGTGGAAGGCGTGCACTTGCTGAGCAGCGGGGCTCAGCAGAATTTCTTTGACTCGAGGACCCTCGGAAGCTTAACTCTGTCGTCATCTCAAGTGTCTGCACATATGGTGTAATGAAGTCTATGTTCAGCTACATTTGAATTTGTCTAACGGACGTTCTTCTTTTTCTTATTTTGCAATATGGAGGAAATGATCTGTAGCTGGTAACGTGTACACGTAGCAATAGGAAATGCAGGCTCATTGAATCGTTTGACTTTCATGGTGAGGTTGTAATTTTCTATTGGTATATATAGTTGTACATACATGGTACATGGAATTTTACAGCGTCCAAAATGACACCCTCCCTCTCTGTCCCCTAGTTCATCCAGTTGCACAGAAGGTTGGGTGGGGTGGAGTGGGGGTGTTGTATGTTTAGCCAGTGTTCTCAGACACCTTTTAAAACCAAATGATGAACTTAAAACCTTGCCTCTGATACTAACCAGACTAGGGCTTGTAACTTAATTTATAAGAACAATGCTTTAAAAGGTTTCATACTTCAGTGTTGATAACCCGCAGTAACCAGCAGAGTGTCTCGTGATTTCTGTTATTCTTGGACACAGTAAGTGTGAGAGCCTTAAATGCAAAAGCCAGTTGATGTTCTTGGTGTTAGATCTGAGGAATTTACAATCATGGTTTCATTTTTGTGTTCCTGCTTCTTCTTATGTACCACAGTTATACTATGACTTTGGGTGGGTAAGAATTCATAACTCATAATAATTGTTGTTATTTTCTTAGGAAAGGTGAAAGAGAAACTTGTGATTATTCCTCTGACTTCTCATTGGGCATATAAAAGGCACTTACTCATCTGCAGAGGATAATTCCCAGTATTTTGATGTGTCTTCTCATTATTATTTAGTTTATCAAATAGACCATTAAAGAATGTCTTCTATAAATATTATTGAATTCCAATTTTCAAAAATGACTGGAATGGTAAAGTGAAAATAAATCCACCTCAAATTCTTTTATTCCAATGAGAAATTTCTATCTTATAAATCAACAAGAACCATATCGACATCTATACCATCCATTCTTCCATTTAGGAGCTTTTGTCCATGTTGTTTTGAGGTTCCTGATTCATGGTCTCTAAGTAAGGAAAAAGACATTTATGCTTCTATTTATGTCCCATAACTCCTACAATGTGAGATGTCCCCTCTCCTTAACTCTACCCCTCTGTCTGAGTCTTCTCACATCAGATACACCCTAGTCCTTTATGGTGTTAAATCACACTGTAAGGCATTTTAGAGGGTTATCTTCAGCAATCTGTCTTTTGGGGGTTGTAGTACAAAGGCCAATGGCCATTAACATAAAGGTGTTTTTAGAGGAGTAAGAGGAAAGATACTAATTATGATAAAGGAACTATAACATTTTAGAACTCAGCAGCATTTTTAGCTTCAAAATCAGAGAGAGAAAACTAGCATTCACTTTTTAAAAAGCCTTTGAATCATGTATAAATGGTTTGAGCACATTATGGGATGAATAGAAAAAGCTAAGAATAAGTAATGAGGAGCCTCATCTTACTTCTGTAGAAAAGTAAAATAGTGTGGCTGCCCATCAACTCATGAGAGTTCATGTATTTACCAAGGCAAGAGGACCTGATTCCCATTCATTACTAAGCTGAAATGCTTTAACTCATCCTTAGTAGGGATGGCTAAAGGGCTTAGCTTCTGATTTGACTTTTTTACCTTAAAACTGTGTAACTGTTAGGTATTTATGGAGGCTCTACTGTTTGAACAGAATTTGCATAGCATGTGATTCACATTCATAGATATTGAAAAATTTCCTCTTGGGTTCTTCAGCAGTCCATCAAATTAGTATTGATTTTCCATTACAATTAGCAGCAGGGGAAGTGAGTCATTTGGAACCGGCCGGTCTATGTGAGGTGCTTGTGTACAGTGTTAATCACTTGACAAATTCCGAATAAGGCTTTGAGAATGAGAAGAGTCCTCATGAGTTCATCTCAACCTTCACGTTTGATATCTTTCAAAGAACAAGAGAGTTTTCCATATGGAGAGAACATGGAAAGTAATGATTTATATCCATTTATACTAATAAGCAAAACATTTTTCATTTTTGCAGTTGATAATTTGAGATGATACCACCTTATAATTTTTTTTAATATTTTGGGTAAAATCTAGCAATATTGTACAAATGTTATTTCCTTAGGGATTTACTGTAAATAAAAATCACCATGTCATTTCAAAGACTAGGCTTTTATTGCATTAAATGACATATATGCATTGATTATTGTAATTATATATCTGTATTTTATTAAAAAGTACTTAAGAAGTTATATTAAAGTGTGGTATTAAACCCTTTGATGATCTTGGAGGATAATCATTTTAAGTGTGTATGAATGTTGTGCTAAGAATTTATTAATATTCCCCCAAAGAATATATTAATACCCCCTAACACAAGTTCTACAGCTCTCAGTGACAAGGCAGGAAGAACTTGGCCAGGCCTGGTGTTCACAATTCATGTGTTAAATATAATTTCTTAGTGTGGTGACCATGTCACTGGAAGTGAAGAGCTTAACAAATGTTGAACACATGAACATTCTCATGTGAGGGGGAGGGCTGAGAGGGGGTGTTTTGTTTCAGGTCCAGGGGAGAAGGGCAAGGATACAAGAAGGAGCTGCTTGCACCACTGACCAGTGATGACAGATCAGTTTCAGGCCCCTTGACTAGAAAACATTCCAAGGGATGTTGAGATGGAGTGAGGTCACTGCTATCATGACCAGTCACATTTTGAAAATTAACACTTGCTTACATACAAGCTCCCCCCTGCCCACCCCCAGAGGTCAACAACTTTTCACAAGTGGGGCTCCCAATTGATGACCTCTGATTTCTGGAATGTAGCGGGTCAGAAGACCTTGGTAGCCCCTCAGCAGGGCTTAGGGCACAGGGTTGCCTATAAAGCAAAGGATTACACTTAACTCTTTAATTAGAGAGAATTTGAGCAAAACATACCATTTTGAAAATACAAATAGCTCTTTCCCTAAGACTTCAACCTATCAGCAACTCATACCTCCGTGTGAACTAGATGAACAGTGGCTTTGGAGATAGGTGGAGGTTTCATTCGAAGAAAGGAGAGTAATTTTGGGAGCAAGGGCAATTCTGGAAGGTGTGGATGAGAAGAAGGTGTAGGAATGTGGACCCTAATCAAAATGCACATGATCTTGGTGCAGAGCCATTTAAAAAGAATGATTCCACGACCTTTTCGTAGCTGTGGTCGGGGTTGGTAGATGGTCTCTTAGAGAAGTTTGTGAAGAATTCATTATTTTGAAGAAATAGTAGTAGCTCAGTGTTAGGTCTTCTCATGAGAGAGAGACCTCATTGGCTATTTACATGTAAATTTTCCTGAGCCTTCTAAAGGGAGTGAAATAATTTTGTTTAACTAGGTTGTGTCTTAATCTGTATTGATCACCATCCTTAAAATAATAGGTGCTCAAATAAATGGAGAGTGGCATCAAATATGCAAAATGTTTAATAAACATATATAATTCCAGCATTTTAGGAGTGAAAAGCTTAAGGATAGACCAATCAGTGATCGAAATAAATAAAACTGCAATGCAGTGAATTAATTAATATGCCTCTTCTAACTATAGCCTTTTTGTGACTCCCACCAAAGGACATTAGTTTTCCTGATAGGTCTGAGGCGGGGGTAATGATGATATTATCTGATTTAGCTGTGAGTGATTGACTTCCTCTTGGTATCTCTGATGCATGAAGCGGGATTTCCCTACCAGTAAAAGACAAGAGCCGGAAGCTGAGTATGCCATTTGGATCCCAAGATCCCTGGACATTGAACCTTCTTGATCCTGGAGCTAGCAATGACACCAGAGGTGTGGCAGAGGAGCAGCAAAACCAGAAGACAGAGCATGACACAAAGCAAAGGACCTCCCAGCCCAGCGAACAAGTAAAGCTGAGTGCTTTGGGGCCCGAGACTGGCTTGTGGAGGGAACTGGGTTTGACTGATCCATGCAGCTGGAGGGGAGTGCCTGAGGAGTGAGGCTTGCAGTGTAGTGGCACGAGGAGCACTAAAAGAGCTTCTTCTAACATTGCCCGAAGGAGACGGAGGACACACCAAGAGGCTGAAGGTCAAAGAGAGGCCTGCCAGCAGGCATGGCAAAGAAGAAATGATCTTGACTGCATAAGGGTATCCTGAGTGTTTCTCACCTGAATTGTAATCTGTGAAGTTCCCCAAATAAACATAATCATAAGCATCATCTGCGAGTTCTGTGTGGTCATTGCAATGAATTGAAGAACCCAGCTGAAAAGTAGCGAGTGCTGGGGAGGGACAGTTGGTATCAGAATTTGCTAAGGACATTTGGAAGGTGGGAGCAGGTCTGACCTCTGCCTTGTAGCAATCCGCCTTGGGAGCCAAACGAGACCGATGTGGTACCACATCATTTGCTCATATTTATTTGAGTATAGTAACATCCAATAGGTATAAAAATTATTATTCTATATGCTGATAGATTTTCCACGGAAAAATTGTCTTTTATTTAAACCTTGATATGATCAGAGAGACGAAGGAACTTGGTTTCAAACCATGAATTTTTCAGCCAGGATTTTGAGCAAAAATGGGTTGACTCTTAGTTTTATTATGGAAGAAAGGAGAGGCTGCGGTTATAGCATCTTTCCTACCTCCTTCCATTTCAAGTTCATATGATTCTAGTTAAAACATTTAGCTTTCTATTAAGAAAATAGTTTCATAAAACTATTAAATCTTTTGGAAGTAAATATGGTACAAAGAACACAATTCTACATGGATTATTTTGAATTTGTTAGATTACTCAGAATTTATCTTTTGAATAGAAATGCACTTTATTTAATCACATTATGTAAGGCATATTGAAATATTTTAATATTTGAAGGAAGCTGCACTTTATAATGTACTTGCTTCTTTACAGTGAATAGAAATGTTATTGAATTTGATTTCCTTTGGGAATTGTAGTAAAATATCTGGAGATCATTCCAGGTTTACTGAAAATATATCTTAATCCACATCAAGAAAACACTTGCACCTTTTTTTCAAGGATTTCATTCTTATCGAGACTCATGTACTATAATATGAAGTAGTTGATTACTCTGAAATTTATTGAATTTATACAAAACTGACTCAACAAACACATCCTACTACCAAGTTTCAAATCATATTATTCAGACCACTGCGAAAACTTGCTATCAGCCAAGACATTAAAAAAAAAAGGAAAAGAAGCAACCCCCCAATAACTTCATTTAGTATAATTCATATGCCATACAATTTATTATTTGACGCAAACAAGTAAATGATTTTTAGTGTATGCAAGAAGTAAACAACCAGCTCATCACTATGATCAATTTTAGAATATTTTCATTACTTCCCCCCCCAAAAAAACTTTGAACTCACTAGCAGTGAGTTTCCTCTTCTGTTTACCCTCGTCTCCCAGTGTGGTAGTTAAATAACCTGGTGTCAATTTGGGACTTGAGAGGATTAAGAGTGAAGGGGTGGAATCTAGTCTGTCAATCGGTTCATAGCAAATGAAGCCTCTGTGTGGGCTTGGCCTTCTCCTGAGAATTCTGAGAACTCTGATATTTCCTACTTGGAGGTGGGAGATTCTCTCTCTGGGTTCAGTCCAGACACATGGAACTATGCTAGTGCCCTTAGCTGGAGAAGCCATGTGGAGAGCCCTGCCAGTGCTGAGATGCTTATACCTCCACTGGATCCAAAGACTTTCTACCCACTGCCTTGTGATCGTCCTCCATTTGGTGTCATTGCATGTGTTTCATGAGTCTGAAGAGGACTTTATAGATTGATATTAGACATGTGGGCTAATAATGGACTTAGGGGCTTGGACTGGACTGGGTATGCATTGGTATCTCATTGTGGTTTTGATTTGCATTTCCATGATGACTAAAAGTGTTGAATGTCTTTTCACATGCTTATTGGCAATTTGTATTTATTCTTTAGAGTTACATCCATACAAATTCTTTTCCCATATGTAATTGGATTATTTGTCTTTTTTATTTTTGAAATGTAAGAGTTCATTATATTTTTTTGGTACAACTCTTCTTAATATGGTTGAACTATTAAATCGTATGATATGAATGATATACCAATAAAATTGTTTTTAAAAGTTTATTATATATCCTAGATATAAGTTTTTAAAATCCATTATGCGACTTGTACACATTCTCTCCCATTCTTTAGGGTCTCTTTTCACTCTCTGGGTGGTCATCCTTAACAACACAACTTTTAAATTTTGATGATGCCATATTTATTTATTTAGATGTGCTTTTGATTTCAAGACAAAGTCATTTTGATAAAGTTTTAATCTGCCCTTTCATATTCTTAGTAGCAACAATGGAAATGCATTTTGAAATAGCTCTTTGGGTGTATAAATGTAATCTTTTCTGCCATCAAGTTTATTCCAACACATTTCAACTCTGTATAGGGTCTGAAAGATTGTCAATCCTACAGGCATAGACAGCCTCACCTTTCTCTGCTGGAGCAACTGGTGGGTGTGAGCCATTGACTTTGTGGTAGTAGAGCCCAATGTCTAACCTCCAGCGATAAATATACTAGCACTTGATAAATCACCTTCTCCCTCCCACCACAACACACACACACACACACACACACCACCTTGACAAGTTGTTCCTGGGGAAATCGAGTCTATGTCCTTCCGTAGTTTTAAGGTCAAGGAAAAGGATCACAAGTACCATGAACTCTGTTACCATAGAAAACTGTTGTATTTTAAATACAGTGATACCTTGATTGTCGAACTCGATTTGTTCCAAATTCATGTTTGAACCCAGAAAAGTTCAAGAACTGAACATATTTTTCCCATAGGAAATAATGGAAAACCAAAACTTACACTTATAAATTCACAATGGAGACTTTTAGTTTTCTTACACATCACTGCCTGGGACACACTATCACCACTGCATTGCTTCAGATTCAACCAAATTAGCAGAATATGTCAACCTCTTTGATGGTCTGGGTGCTTTGTTTCCTAGTTAATGATTTCACTACATTAACCGCTTTAATTACTTTTTTGTTTTTTCAAAAATATTGATAATATTGACTTAGCCATGTTGTATTCAGCTACCATATCAGATAAGCGGCAACCGGATTCAAATCTGGCAATTTCTTTCTTTATTGTTATTCTCGTTTTCCTCTTAGTGTTAGTGCTTGTATCATTAACTTTCTTTGGCTCATTGATTACAATATTTTACAGAAATAAAGTGAAAAAAAAAGCGCCCAATGGAGAATGCTTTCATGCACTATCATAAGCACTATACAAGG